GACTATGAGCAGGGCCGGGTTTCTTTCCTGGACGCGGTGTCCTTCCGGGGGCTCCTGGAGTGCCCCCTGGACTGCTCGGGGCCCGTGTGCCCTGCCTTCTGCTTCATTGGGGGGGGCGCTGTGCAGCTGCAGGAGCCCGTGGGCACCAAGCCCGAGAGGAAGGTCACCATCGGGGGCTTCGCCAAGCTGGACTGACGGTCTCCGGCCTCCCGAGGCCCTGGCCCTCGGAGCTTCCTGGAGCCGGGTGGTCCCTCCGGCAGCTTTTCCCTCGGCCTCTTCCTACCAGGTGGTCCTGTCCTTCCCCCCGTGTCTGTGTCTCCCCAGGGCCTTCTCTTGACCAAGGGACACTCCTCCGCTCGCCTCTCTGGCTGACCGCCATTTCTCCCCTGCCTGTTCATCCAGACCCCACCCCACCCAGTTCCTGCTCCATCCTCGGCCCGTGGCATCCCACCACGTCATGGGAGAGCCCTGCCCCACCCCGGCCCATCCTCCCCAGCACTCAGGCCAGTTGGCAGGGAGTTCCCAGAACACCGGGCACGATCCCCGTTCTGCCCTCTGCCCTGCCGAGCTGCCTGCCCACCGATGCTGACCGATGGCCTTAGCGTGGGCAGGCTTTGCCGACACTGCCTAGGCATTCCCGGGGAGGGGCAGAGGACCCCCTCCTGTGTTTGTGTGGGTCCCCGTGCCCTACAGCCGCATGCCCGTAGCCCCTCTCCCTCTTGCATGCTTCCCTTGTCCCGCACCCGCACCCACCCAGATGTGCCGCGGCTCCCTTTGGGGCCACACGCAGGTTGGATGTCCCCATTGGGTTGGGCCAGGCAAGACCTGGGGCCCACTGCTGCCCCCCTGTGGTAGGGACTGCGAGGCCTGTGCCAAGCAACAGCTGTCATTTTCATGGTTTATACACAATAAACTGTGACACCGGGCACATCTCCGCCTTCCCTGAGCCCGACCATTCCTCTTAGCTTCTGTGCTGGGTGTGGCTGCCTGAGGGATCGGTGCTCAGCTGTTGCTCACACGGCTGCCTGATGGGTATGGCCCTAAGGCAAGGAGGTCCCCCAGCCTCCTGCCCACACAGGTGCCCGGCCCAGGCCTGAGCCCACCATGGCCGCCAGGGGGCGCGTGGCTCTGGTGACCTCCTGTGTCCCCTGAGGAGGCTGGGACACCAGCTCCCACACCCTGAGGGAATGTGGTTGAGCTCAAAGGGGCAGGGAACCGGAACCACTTCCCCATTCCCAGGGTGCGAGGAGCAGACCCCAGAGCCAGCGGGCCGATGGGGGGGCCCACAGCCAGGGAGGGGACTGGGCTGGGCGCCAGCCCCGGATCTAACACTTATCAGGCCGTGTTGACTCTGGGGCTGCTATCCCGTGTTGACTTTGTGGCTGATATCGCTGCCTGAGGACTTACTTCACACCCGAGCAGCTCAGAATAGAACGGCCTGAGGGCATCGTGCCAAGGGGAGAAGAGGGTGCGGGCCGGCCAGCCCCCAGCCAGGGTGAAACCAGGGGCGAGCCATGGGTGCGCAGGCCGAGCAGGCCCAGGCCAGAAACCTAACTTAGGTTTCGTTTCCTCCTTCCTCTTGTGCCGCCATCCTCTTGTGCCGCCAGCGATGGGGGAGAGGTGACTCAAATTCTTCCACCAGCCACTCCTGACCCACGTCATCTCTCCACACCCCCTGCTGCCCAAATGAACCCTGCTCCTGGCCTTCTTTCCTCCCTGCCTCCTCCCTCAAAGTCCCCTCCAGACCCCCACACACATACATCCTGATCTCCCCTCCTGTCTGAAGGTCACAGATGACAGATCAGAAGGGAGAGCCAGAGCGGAGGAGGCCCATGTTTTATTCAGCCATGTTCAAGTTCCCACTCCGACCTGGGGGCTTTCGGGGCCAGTCCTGGAGCCACTGCCCCAGGCACATCCCCAGGAGCCAGGATGGGCTTCCCCGGGGGCTGAGATGGGTTAGGGACGCTTGCAGGAGGCTGCGAGCAGCCCACCGTAACTCCCAGCTCACCAGTCCGGAAAAAGGGGGAGGGGGCACTGGTGGTGAAGACCAAGACCATGACAGAGGCCACTGGCCGGATGCTCCGGATGCTCAGCGGGCAACGTGCCCCTACAAGTTGGCAGAAGTGGCTGCTGGGTTCGTGTAGGAGAGGCTGCTGCCACCATTGCCTGCAGAAACCTAGGTGAGGGGGGAAGGGGTCCAGGCTGACGGGCAGAAGCTTCCCTGGGAGAAGCCGCCACCCCAGGGCCCCTGGATGGCACCCCAGGCTGGGGTAGTGGTCTGGGAGCCTGACAGCTCTCGAAGGGTTAATTTGGAGAGAGCACCTGCCAGGCACCACCAGCAGCCAGGTGACTGTAAACAGGGCCTTTTCTCCTCCCTCTGCTCCCCTGCACTCCCTCCCCTTGGTTCTCATCGGCCCCCTCGCGGTCCCCTCCTGCCCGTCTCCCTCCATTCTCAGCTCTTCCAGCCCACGAAGGCGTGTGTGCTCATCTGTGTGAAACGGGGAGAAGGAAGTCCCAGGAGTGGGGAAATGGGGTCAAGGAAAGAAAAGTCCCCTCCCCCACCTGGAGTTCCAGCCCCAGGTGACCAAGTAATTATTTACTAGTCCTGCAGGGAAGGCCAGGGGAGGGAGGAGGAGGAGGGTCCTTGCTTCCCGGAGACTCCCAAGAACCCCACCCAGGCTCACCTGGCTTGGTGAGACTTCAGCCTCGGAATCGGAGACCACCCCCCCAGCATTCCCCAACCTACCCTCCATTCTTAGGAGAAGGGTGGGGGACAGGCGCTCACTCCTTGTGAGTCCTGTGTGACGGGTGCCCACCCATTTCACCTCTGGGCATCCCCGCCACAGCAGGGCCCCAGTCCGGCTGACCAGCGAATGCTCTCCTGGTAGTGGGGACACTCCCTCATGAGGTCCCCTTTCTTCCATGGTCTCCCCAGGCCTTTCCCCTAGAAATCTCCTGACCTGACCGCCACCCACCTCCTGGCCAGGCGCTCCACTGCTTGCTTCATGTCACTCCTCACCTTTTCTAAGTTCTTTGGATTTTGCAAAGACCCCGGCCGGCCCCCTTCCCAGGCAAAGCCTCTTCTCCCTCCACCGTGGGGCCCGTCCTCACCTCCTCATAAGGGCTACGTTTGGTACCAGGGGGCACATAGCGGCCGTGGGTGTGGTAGGTGGGGTACTCGCTCATAGGATGGTAGGCATCTCGGGTTGGGAAGAGGTCCAGCTGTCCACAGCTCTTCCGGCGGCACTGACACACAGCCTTGGGGAGACAGGAGGTTAGGGGGAGTTCCTTCTAGCTGGGGGACTCTGGGTAGAGCTGAAGACTGAGCACTTACCAGGGCAATGAGATAGATGATGGCCAGCGCGACCAGAACACAGACCAGCACCAGCAGGGCAATGCCCCAGCCGGGTACCCCAGACCCAGGCCGGGAAGAGGAAGGAAATGACACATCATCCACTGAAAGGAAAAGGACTCATCAGGGCAGTTTCCCAAAGGAGGGGACCTCCCCCTTTACCCCCCCCCCCAAGATGGAATCCAGCCGGAATGATGCTGGGGAGTGAGTGGCCCTAGAAGCTTCGCGCTGGCCTGAGGCAAGGAAAGTGGCCTCACCAATAGGTCTTGAGATGACCCAGTTGTATCTCTCTTCATGTGATTCATCTAGAAGAAACTGTGCCGCTACCTTGTTGGCATTGGTGGTGCCCCCTCGGAAGGCCAGAGTTGATTCCACCACCACAGATCCTGGCCTGCTCACAGGGAAATGAGCAATTCATTTGGGTGCAGGTCCCAGCTTCTGGGCACTTCCCCCAACCACCAGTGTGCCAGTCCTTCCCCATAATCACAACAACATTTACCCATCCAGACGAGTCCACACCCAGACTGTACCTGAACTTTACGTTAGAGGAGCCCAGAAAATTCTCCTGTTTATAAATCTGCAAAATCTGGGGGGAGAGGGTAAGTACTAAGTTTGGTGCCCGGGTTCGAGCAGTTCTGAAGCTGCTGCGAAGGAGCGCATGGAGGAAGGCAGTTACTCACCCATTCTGTCACGTTTCTCCGCAGCACCTGGTAATAGTTAGAGCTGGGATCTTCCAGGGAAGCGTTAAACGGGAGGTTCAAAATACGAAAGGACAGGAAGAAGAAGGACAAGCTATGATTGGAAGAGGTGAGGGGCACTATGCTACCGCTAGTGCTACTGGCTGTAGTCCTGGTTCTGTGGCTGGCAGGGGTGGTGGGAGTATCAGAGTGGCTGGGAACTGAAGATGGAGTGCCCTTGCCAACTGGGGTGGTGGTAGCCTTGGCAGAAGTGCCCTTGTGCGCTGGAGTGGCTGCCACACTTGAGGCAGAGCTGGTGGCTGGAGAAGAGGTGGCACCGTGGAGTGAAGCTGTGGCTGAGCTTGAGGCAGAGCTGGTGGCTGGAGAAGAGGTGGCACCGTGGAGTGAAGCTGTGGCTGAGCTTGAGGCAGAGCTGGTGGCTGGAGAAGAGGTGGCACCGTGGAGTGAAGCTGTGGCTGAGCTTGAGGCAGAGCTGGTGGCTGGAGAAGAGGTGGCACCGTGGAGTGAAGCTGTGGCTGAGCTTGAGGCAGAGCTGGTGGCTGGAGAAGAGGTGGCACCGTGGAGTGAAGCTGTGGCTGAGCTTGAGGCAGAGCTGGTGGCTGGAGAAGAGGTGGCACCGTGGAGTGAAGCTGTGGCTGAGCTTGAGGCAGAGCTGGTGGCTGGAGAAGAGGTGGCACCGTGGAGTGAAGCTGTGGCTGAGCTTGAGGCAGAGCTGGTGGCTGGAGAAGAGGTGGCACCGTGGAGTGAAGCTGTGGCTGAGCTTGAGGCAGAGCTGGTGGCTGGAGAAGAGGTGGCACCGTGGAGTGAAGCTGTGGCTGAGCTTGAGGCAGAGCTGGTGGCTGGAGAAGAGGTGGCACCGTGGAGTGAAGCTGTGGCTGAGCTTGAGGCAGAGCTGGTGGCTGGAGAAGAGGTGGCACCGTGGAGTGAAGCTGTGGCTGAGCTTGAGGCAGAGCTGGTGGCTGGAGAAGAGGTGGCACCGTGGAGTGAAGCTGTGGCTGAGCTTGAGGCAGAGCTGGTGGCTGGAGAAGAGGTGGCACCGTGGAGTGAAGCTGTGGCTGAGCTTGAGGCAGAGCTGGTGGCTGGAGAAGAGGTGGCACCGTGGAGTGAAGCTGTGGCTGAGCTTGAGGCAGAGCTGGTGGCTGGAGAAGAGGTGGCACCGTGGAGTGAAGCTGTGGCTGAGCTTGAGGCAGAGCTGGTGGCCGGGGGAGAGGTGGCGTGGGGGGCTGAAGTGGTGACCGCACTTGAGGCCGGGTTGTGAGTGGGGAGTGAGCTGCTGGTTGTGCTCACAGAACTTCTGTCAGTGAACCTGGACATTGGGCTGCTCCGGGCAGTCACAGTCTGTCCATTTCCCATGTGGCTTGTGTGGACAGAGGTTGTAGGAACCGTTTGTGGGGCAGTGGGAGGAGCTGTAAGAAATTGAGAATGAGGTTCGGGGTAAATCAGAACAAGGAGGAAACACTTCCTCTAGCACTTGGAGAGGTCATGCTAGGAGGATCTGGGGAGCAGGCCCTTGAGTCAGCCCTCCTCCGCCCTCCCAGCTGCAGCCTCCCTCTCTTCCCAGACCCTCCGCTCCCGCTTTAGCCATTCTCCACTCCTAAGATGTACCTCCCCTGCCGCTCCCACTCCCACCCCACCCTGCACTTCTCTTCAGGAAATTCACCGGCAGCTGGCACCCATTCTCCTGGGGGGTCGTCTCTTAGCCTGTCTCCTTTATTCTGGCACAGACTAGCCCCCTGTCTGCCATTTCTGCCTTGTGGGGTGCCATCTGCCAGGAAACAAAACCCACAGAAAGGCTGTGCAGGACAGCCCCTTCCCCACCGTGTGCCCCTCACCTGTCAGCACCGGGACTAGCAGCAGCAGGAAGAAGCGAGGGGCCTGGATGCCTGGTGTCATGGTGGTGGTGAACCGGGTGGGGAGGGGGCAGACCAGATTGAGGCCGGCACTGGGCACTGCGTGTGAGGCGGAGCAGCACAGGTGCCGGCTGTTTTATACTGGTCCCCCCCGTGCCCCTCACCTGTCAGCACCGGGACTAGCAGCAGCAGGAAGAAGCGAGGGGCCTGGATGCCTGGTGTCATGGTGGTGGTGAACCGGGTGGGGAGGGGGCAGACCAGATTGAGGCCGGCACTGGGCACTGCGCGTGAGGCGGAGCAGCACAGGTGCCGGCTGTTTTATAC